CAGATACTCACGCACACGAGGACAGTGCATTTACCACATAATCGATTCATGCATGTGGCAGGCTAAGAATTTCTTTCATGTTGCGTTTTCGTTGTTAGTTTCTGTAGTCGTTTTTCTCCCAGTTTTTTCTTTATGATTTGTTTGAGCCGCATCTTTTTCGGACCACCCGTGAAATCACTTTGGGTTACCAGTTTTTGGGACAGAGTTTGACTTCGTTTTTCTTTCTTTTTTTTTTTTTTTGGGTGTTTTGGCTCTTTTTTGTGTGTGTTTGGTGGGGTCTTGGCCTTTGTTAAATTGCTCTTGTTTATGTTAACATTTAAATTGTGGCCACGGGTAGTCGGGATAGTAGCCCCAGCCCAACCCAAGAACCCCCCGCCCTCGCCGCCGCCCTGGCATCCAAAGCAACCAAAACCAATATTTAAACTCAACGCTCCATGAATAATCATCGTCATCGTCAGCGTCATCATCTCTTCTGCGGCCTTTCAGCAGGGCCATCAATTCTGATTTACCAAAAGTGTTAATTAGGCTACGGATCGCATGGGATCGGTTCGGTTCAAGCTTGTTTGCTTCCTCAGCTCGGGAAACTGTTTGTTTACAGTGAGCCCTCAAATCTCCGGATGTGGGCTAAGCGCTAACCTAAGTTCACAGATCATAGGCACAGACTTTGCTTAAAGATTACTTAAGAATTCAATTTGAAAAGTTTTACTGCTCATCTGTGGGTTTATTGCAACCAATTCTAATAGTTCTTGGGACATTTCTTTATCCATTTTTTGATCCTTTACAAAAAAGTTTAAGCACCAAACAAGGTTGCAGAAATGAATTCCCGAACTATTCTTCTGATCTTCGGTGGCTCTCCAAGTGCTAAATCATTTGTGTTTCAAGTGCACACGGTCTCAGCTTATATTTTCATTCCCTTTTCTTATGATTATGGGTTCGCTCATTAAAAGTTTATTGACAAAGGAGTTGTAATATGCAGATCATGAATGCCATCAGGATTCTATCTGGGTCACTCTTTCTAACTATTTGCTTGACATTTTCGTATTGCTTTTCCTTGTTTCCTCTATTTTCTGTTACCTCTCGTCCATCAATACTTTTTCATGCCTTTTTCCATGTCTGAGGTGTCCATGCTTTGAACGATTTAGCTTTCAGTATTTAATTTCCCTACATTTTCATCCTAAAATTATGATTTTCAGTTCGCCCTTTCTTCGTTTCACTGAACTAAAACCAGCAACAACAAGGGGCATCCACAGCAATCGAGTGCTCAAGTTAGATGGATAATTTGACGCTTCTTAGTGACAGGCCTGGCCTCACCAGTCAGCCAGCAGTTCAGTTCAGTGCTCCACTCCATTCATAGTTCGCCAGGGATAGTGCTAATTGCTAGGGCCTGTCCCTAGCCCTATGCCTGTGCCTGTCCCCAAGTGCCGCGCATAGTTGTCGCCCCATAATTGTTGCCTGGGCCGATGCCGACAGGAATCGAGAATCGAGAATCAGACATCAGACTCAGGCAACGGGCAAGGCCCATCATCGCCTCAGTCGTTGACTGGCTGTCTGTCAGCTGTCCATCAAAGCGTTGCCAAGTTGGTGTTAATGGGTGCCTAGAATGCGAGTGGTGCGTCTCGCGCCTCCCCGGTCTTGTTGTACACGGGACTACGCATGTTTTTGCTTGTTGTCCTTCGGGGATTAAGCGTCAGGTTGGAGTAATTGTCGAGTGTGGAGTGCCTTTGTGGTCGCTGTTTTTGTTGCCTTGCATTTAATTTATTTTTAATATATTCTTAAAGTAAAAAGAAAGAAGCCACACGGACACATGCACCCAGCCCAGTCCTGCCCTGCTAATCCCTGTCCAGTTGCCCGCTCAGCAGCAATGGAATCGGAGCAGCCGCTCCTAACTTGTCGTCGCGGGGGATTGGATCTCGCCGCCCAGGGCGGAGAGCTCCTTGAGGAACTGCCTCGCGTTGGTCAGCGTGGAGGCGCCGTAGATTATGCGCCTCTGCACGTTGGACGTCTGCTTCTGCTTAATAAAGTCCACCAGATTCTGGTACTCAATGTAGTTGCCGCCGCCGACCATGAAGACGACGGCATCCTGGAATGGGGCACGATTCTTGGGCAGCACATCGCCTCCCTTCAGCAGCTTGGGGTCCAGATACAGATAGTCATCCGTTTCGGCATTGCTGCGGCACTCCATGACCTGCTCCGTGATCTTGGTGACAGGCAGGTTCTGCAGAAGCAAGGACACGGCTGAACATTACCGCTTTGGACAGATTTGATTGCATTACTCACGTGCCGCTTCACAACCAGATTCTTGACGCCCTCCATGACGAAGGAGCTGCCCTGCGAGACAAGTTTGGTGAACATGGAAACGGTTTTGGTGCCGCCGCCCTCGTACTGGGTGGCTTGGCTGATGCCGGGCGAGCGATTCATCAGCGCCTTCCAGCGCTGCACGTAGGCCAGAGCGGTCAAGTCACAGCCGGCGGCCTGCAGGGCCTCCTTGAGCCGCTCTACCTCTGACTCGGGCAGCTGCTGGGCGCAGATGTAATAAATGATGAACAGCCGCAGCTTGTCCTCCGACTGGCCAAACTCCGGGTCCCGCAGCAGCTCCAGCAGCGGCTTGTCCAGCGTCTGCTTCGACATGACCTTCTCCTCAATCTCAAAGTACGAGTCGAGTCGCCGCGCCTTGATGTAGTTGAGGATGGCAGTGGCAATCTTGGTGTGCATGTCGATCAGCCGCTTCTTCTCCATCAGCTGCGGCAGCGAGTTGACGGCGTTGGTGAGGCGCGTAGTTGTGTCGTTGACCAGCGAGAAGGCAATGTCCGACTCTCCCTCAATGCCCATCGAGGTTTTGAGACGCTTGATTTCATCCTCCGAGTTCCGATAGGATTCCAGCTCCTCCTGTATGGCCTCGGCCACCGTGGGAAAGGGACTGCCCTTGTGGGTCATCCAGAAGCGATCGTTGCGGTCCAGATCACAAGCCTTTGGCTTCTTTCGGGCTCCTACAAAAATATTTCATCAAATCAGCAATCAAATTCAGAATGTTGGCGAAACCTACCTCCTGCCGCCTCATCCTCGACGTAGACCAGGTTCAGGCCGAGGTCCAGAACATCGTGGACTAACGCCTGGTACGACCATGTGTGATGCAGCGGCGTGGCCAGATCCATATTCCTGTCCAGCAGCAGCAGAACAGGCCGCTGGAAGCTGAACACTCCGCCGCCTGCCTGTGTGGCGTCCATGTGGAACAGATTAGCGCGCGCATCCCAGAGGTTCTCGCGCAGCTTCTTCTCCAGCTTCCTGGCCACCATCTCGGCGGCACTGTTCCGTGGACAGCGGATGATGGGCACATTTCCCAGAGTGACAAACAGGGCAAAGAGTGAGTCCACGATGGAGTCCATTAGCGGGACCATCTCCTCGTCGCGCGTATTGGCCCGGTTGATGGCGTAGTACGACAGCTGGTCGCTCTGCTGGTGCTTCAGCACGAAAAAGTCGTCCTCCAGGCTGATGAAATTCACGTACTGATCGTACATCCTGTGGATGTTTGCCACGCAGCCGGCGTGCAGGGCGGCGGCGGCCAGGTTCTCGATCTTGGTGCGCGTAATGGGCGCCAGGAAGTTCAGGTGATAGATGTCGTACAGGCCGTTGGAGAAGTCCTGCTGGATGCGGTCGAGATTCTCGTCGGTGGGCAGGCAGAAGTAGATGGCCGGCACGTCGGGTATGGAGTCGCGATCCGAATGGAGTTGTCTATATCGGGGGAGTCATACATATGTGAGTATACAGTGACTAATAGCTGGACGGACCCATGGGTCTGCTCCACTCACACATGCAATGTCACGCCCAGTTCACGCAGCTCCTTGATGGAGATGACCGGCGAGATGATGTCCTGTCCCACACGGTCGTAGATGAGGATCTTCCAAACGGGCTCCGCTGCCAGGGCCTTGGGCTGCTGCGAGTTAAGGTTAAGCATTTGCTTAATAGCATCTGCGGCAGGAAAAAAAATCAAAATTAGTCAATTGGCCCCCAAAGCAAATCTGGTTTAATGTACTTATTTGGCGCTCCCTTAGGGTCAACATTGTGCTTGGTGTCTGGGTCCCGGCAAAAAAAAGCTATAGCAGCGTTTGAGTTATAATGTGTTTATCTTTTAATGGATACAAAACATATTTTATAAAAAAACAACACGTCACAAGCGCCTAAGCCAAACGCGTTTGGGCTAATTTAGTGTGAAAAAGGTGCAACAGCTGTGGATTTGGTGTGCACGCATGCGTCGGAAATACCAAAAGAGGTGGTTTGATATGTTATTAATATTGAATATACAGAAAGTAAAATAAAATAAAAATAATGGATGCAAGCTGGAAATTACTTACAGTTGGATATTTTTGACCTACATTCGAGAATGTTTACGGTCTGTTTGCAAGATACTCAGGCGGAATTTATAACAAATTTATCTTATTTGAGTAGCAAGCAAACTAAAATACCATAGTTTTGAGTGAAAACATATCTTATCTGTTTCATATGGCCCCTGATTCTTTTAGGGGCCAGCTCACACCAAATTCTTTTCCTCGTTTCAAGCATTTTTTAAAGCCTTTTTTATCTTCCTTTATGACAGAGTTGGCAGCACTGCTTACCATATGAGAACAACTTACCATTCACAATGTGACGAAATTGCCAATTCACAATATGAAAAAGATTGTTCTGTGTGTAAACGTCACCTTGTGAGTAAACATACCTTGGGTAGGGCTGTCAGATATATATAAAGAATCTATGTTCCTTCAAAATACAAATTGGCTTACATTGTGATTCATTCGTTGTTGATAATATTCCATATTTTACGCTGCTAGAATATTATATTTTGCTAAATTCGGTGCAAAGAGAGAGATGGCATGTTAGACAAAATTCAACTTGCCAAGCAAGCCAGCAAAGTCGAATGTCATTGGGCCCCGTTGACAGCCCTTTTCCAAGGTAAAATATTTATAGGGTTGGGTACGCAATTGTACACCCTTTTTATATTTTTTTGCGTTTTGTTTCTCTGTTTGCCTGTTGTTCGTTGTTCATTGTTCATTCTGCTTTCAACCGTCATCCGTCGCGCATCCGCCATTGAAATCCGTAACAACAACAATAATAATTTCAACACGTCGGGACGGTCGGTGCGCGCTAGAAAACTCTTAAAATAAAATAAAAGCAGTGAAAAACATGTAGGCCGTGCACCGACAAAGTCGAATATAGTGTCAAACTACGAATTATTTTCTGAGCGGCTCTGACAGCTGCATTTTTGTTTCTCCCACGTACAAATAAATTGTATTTACGACATTTACGCAAACGAAAACAAACGCAAGTCCGCTACAAACAGCAAGTGAAAGTGCGACAATGATTCTGGAGGGGGATAATCCGGAGGTGGCCATGGTCAACGTGTGCCAGGCAATGCGCGTAGGTCAATTGAGATGGCGCTTGACCCACCGGCGTGCTCTGGCAGCCGCTCAACTTTTGCGCAAGGAGAAGCGCCGCTGCAATGGTCGCTTCGTGAGCGGCGACCACTTCTTCAGGCACAGCCGCGGTTTCCTTTGGTTCGTGATTTGCAACCTGCTAGTCTCTGGCAGCACCGGCGGGGCGGAGGCGCAGCTGCTGATCAACGTTCAGAATCAGGTGCGTTTCGGGGAATCGTCGGAGAATGAAATCATCGAAGAGGATGAGGAAGAGCAAGAGGAAGTTTTACCCATGGAAGGGGCACAAGACGTCGAAGAATATCAAGGAGTAGATTTCGAAGAACTTATTATGCAGTCAGCAGAAAATGGAGCAAGTTTAGATGCGGGAGATCAGCCCCAACACCAATAAACAAACATTTTGAAGGGGAGCAACAACAAAAACAAGAAATGCGGCCAGCAAAATATACAAATGGCACGGCGACTGGAGTGGGGGCGCCCCAAAAAAACAAATGGCAGGGAGAAGATAAACTCCAAGCGGAACCTGGAAAGATTCAACAAAAATAAACGACAAACACTAACATTAGATTTCGTTGTTTAAAATATTTGCATAAACAAGTTAATAATGATGGCTGGGTTCAAGTGGAGAAGAACGATTTGCCTTTGGGGGCTGCTTTCTATAAATTTTAGATTAGTATGCTGAAAACGTGGCTCTCGCTCTTGCTTACAGCGCACCCTGTATCCATCCGCGTGCTGTGTGTGTGAATGTGTGTGTGCACATAATTGTTTACATGTGACATCCTTCGTTGTGCCCGCGTGCTGTCCGTGGCCCCAAAATGTCTCCCCCCATGCTGTGCACTGCTTTGTTTGCATGTGCTTTTGTGCAAACACAGGGAAAGCTAAGCAGCGGCGAGGCAGCAAGAACAATACCAACACAACATGTTTGCTCATGTAGACACACACACACACACACTCACACAGCCACGTGCAAAGGGCACACTTTTTGTTGTTGAACTACATTTCGGTGAGAGTAAGAGAGAGCGAGGGAGAAAGAGATTGCGGTGCAGTTGACCCTGCTTCTTCTTCTTGGCAGTTTCCATCTCCGTTTCGTCTTGGCTTCCTTTGCGTTTCCTTTCCCATTTTTCAAGTCTCTTGACTCTAATTCGGTTCAGGGCCGCCCTGCTTCCAGCGGCAGAAGCTGTCATAGTTAATTTAAGAACTGACAACAACCCCAGTGACACCCCACCCCCCAGTGCTCAGTGCTTTATTAATATTCTAGTGGGAGGGGGGACTAGCGGAAAACAAGGAGCAACGGAGAGTTCTTAAAAGCCCATTCTAACACTTGTTGCTCGCTAATGCACTTTCGCAGGGTGGCGAGGTGATCCAGGAGAGCATTACCTCCAACATTGGCGAGGACCTGATAACACTCGAGTTCCAGAAGACGGACGGAACCCTCATCACCCAAGTGATAGACTTCCGCAATGTAAGTATCGCCACATGAAGACGAAAGTGGAAGAATTCCGAACATTTCCTCTGCTTTAGAAGTCTCATTCCTATTCTTCCCTTTAACCCTGCAACCTTGAAAACCCTGAAACTAACCCTGAAAACCTTTCAGGAGGTTCAAATCCTCAAGGCCCTGGTGCTTGGTGAGGAGGAGCGTGGCCAGAGCCAGTACCAGGTCATGTGCTTTGCCACCAAGTTCAACAAAGGGGACTTCATCTCCTCGGCCGCCATGGCCAAGCTGCGACAGAAGAACCCGCACACGATCCGCACTCCGGAGGAGGACAAGGGCCGCGAGACCTACACGATGAGCAGCTGGGTGCAGCTGAACCGATCCCTGCCCATTACGAGGCACTTGCAGACCGTCTGCGCCGAGGCCATGGACGCTACCTATGTGCGGGATGTCGATCTGAAGTCCTGGGCAGAGTTGCCAGGTGAGTGGTCGACGGATTGGCTGAAAAAAGTGTGTGCATCCGTGCATAAAAGATACGATTCCAAGAGTTTATGACTAGAGAAGCTCTCTATTGGTTTTCCATGGTTCCACTTGAATTTGTTCCGGTATTTGCTCTTGTTTAGATTTGTGGTCGACCTGGCGTCAGCTCCAAATTCTAACACAAAGCACAATTGATATCTCAAATAACGCTAAATAAGATAAAAAGTGCCATAGGTTAGCTAACAAATTACAAATTATTACAGTCCTTAGCCGTATAAAAATAAAGAACAATTGTTTGTTCTTTTAAGCGCTTTTTAGTGCTCCACAAATATGTGGTGGATGTTTTTGTACCAACTTTTAGTAGAAAAGTTCCCCCTGGGTAAACAATATTCGGTGAACCGAATTGATTTTTTCCGTTCACGCAGCTCTTAAATATTCTCAATTTTTGTTTGCATTCTGGTTGCTTGCTGCTTTTTTTTTGGTTTGCACCGGGCTATTCTACAGGCTCGTCGATCTCCAGCCTGGAGGCGGCCACCGAGAAATTCCCGGACACGCTCTCCACGCGTTGCAACGAAGTGAGCAGCCTGTGGGCGCCCTGCCTGTGCACCCTGGAGACGTGCATTGGCTGGTATCCCTGCGGACTGAAATACTGCAAGGGAAAAGGGGCCGTCGCGGACTCGTCCGGGGCCCAGCAGCAGCAGGCGACGAATTATCGCTGCGGCATCAAGACCTGCCGCAAGTGTACACAGTTCACCTATTATGTCCGACAGAAACAACAGTGCCTCTGGGATGAATGACGGCGCGGCGAGCTGCAGCTGGTGCAGATGCAGATGCGCTGTGCCAGGCGGCGGAGCGACACGGATGCGATGGATGCCTGCGATGCGGCACTCGGGATGCAGATGGGAGTTGCAAGTGAAACAAGAGGAGCGGCAACAACGAATGGCAGCAGGAGAACAGGAGAGGACACAGCGACAACAACGACGACCAACAAATTACGCCAACTGCTTTTGTTGGTGCAGCAGCAGATGCCTTTTGCTCTGTGGAGCTTTCCGGTCCATCAAATTTCCCATCATCGTCAGAATGCAGGGAAGAAGGAGAACCAGAAGCAGCAGCAACAGCAGCAGCACCAACAGCCTCATCATCATTCTCAGGTTGCCGCCACATCATCCTCCACATCCACAATGGCTGCCGTCGTTGCGTGATAATGATAATGCTGGGAATATTCCACCCCGCGAAATGAGTGTGGACACTTTTTACTTGCCACACTATGGGCATCACGGGGGCGTAGAGCCAAAGAGTGGACGGATGAAAAAGTGTGCTGCTGTATACCATGTACATATTTATGTACATATTTGTAACTACGATTAGCTTTTAGCCCGTTTGAGTTGTACGCTTATGCAGGATTTCGTTTAGCCTTAGGTTTAGGTTAGATATTCTAATTATCATAATTAAATGTAGCCCACAAAGAGCTCGTTGAACTTGGGATTCCCTGCGCTGCTGTCACTGATTTTATACTCGTACCAAAGAATTTACTTTGCGCTACTTTAAATCATGTTTCCGTCATAATTCTATTAATATTCTTTACTACAAAAATACTTTTCCTTGTTCGTTGCTTGCATTATATTTATACTATCCAATTTCCAACTTTTCTTACATCCTTATGGTTCCTACTAAAAGTTCTGATTCTCATTAAATAATTTAGAATTTCACTTCGCACTTTTTCTCAGCAGTTTAGTTCGGGTTACCTTTTCGGATATTTGTATTTCATCTGCACGTACTCATAAATGAAGCCTGACTAGATCTAGGCTTTTTCCACTCGTATTCCGCTGAGCTAAAGAGTATTATAATTATAGGAATATAAATAAATTAAATGTGGCCTTAGCATGTTTTATGAGCGCAGTAAGGAGACACCAAACTAAGTGCTCATACAAGAAATCGGGAAAACAAAACCAATAGGAAATATGATACGGGAAATTTCACTAACCAAAATGACTGCCGCAAGAAAAGCTTTTTTATCATATACTTTCAAAAATGGCTGTTTGAGAATCCCTATCGCATTCCTTCTTCTTTTCCACTCTTCCTTATAGTACATGTGTAGTCCTTTACACCCTCTTTATACATATGTACGTAGGTAACTGCCTCTTTGCCTTTGACTTGTCATCTTTTCCACTTTTCCAAACCAAAGGATTACCTTGCAAGAGGGTCGAAGAGAGCCTCGAGCACATTGATTGAAACCAATAATAAAATATACCAAGAACAATAATCTATTGTATAAACTTCGAACCTAGTCTACTTAGAGTCTTAGAATGGCATATTTTCCTAAAAGCATACTACAAAATAAAATTGTGTAACATGTTTCGACAAGAAAAACAAACGGTGATAATAATTTTTTCTACCACATAGAAACGCAACTCCTTGACTCACTGTAAAAAATATAATGGAAATGAATTTGATCTGATCCAGTGTAAAAAATTGATTAGTATTACTAAGCATTTAAGGGTTTATCGAACGAGGGAGAAGCCCCATCTGATTCGTGTGAAGCGCATTAGCCAATAAATAATAATAATCCATTAGTCCTAACAAAGTAATTGAAAATTAATAATTAGTCCTAATAAAGAAGCTGACAAATTCTACATTTTTTATAAAACAAAAAGTAATCGTTTCCGTTTAATTATTTTGTATGGTTTGGAGTTTTATTTCAGAGTGAAGGAATCGAGCCTTCAAATTCCCAGCACCTTAAATCCCATTTCTCATTTGATTGAACAGCAAACAATATTTATTAATGCATTTATTTTTTCCTAATCATTGAAGGGCTTTCGGAACAGCCTTTCGGAATCTTCTCAATGCATTAAGATGCTCGGCATGCCTCCAGTTGTTTGCCAAACCATCCGACTCCTCCAGAGCCCTACTACTTACCCCAGCCATCACACACCCGGAAAACAAACAGTTTGCAATGAAAGCTGCATGGAGTGGAGGCTGCCGGCTGGATCCTGGATCCGGGAGCAGCTCCAAGTTGTCTAGAGCCAGTGGCAAATCCTTTATGCGATTTGTAATTCATGAGCAGAGCGCACAGATTCTTATCATTTATTTTACTGCGCAATCGGTATTGGGTCCTGGCAGAGGGAAGCCTGAGTACAGACTGCCAGACAAACACTTGCAGCCAATAACTATATTCATGGCGTCGACTGTTGCCGACGATGGCTTAAGACGTGCGGAAACCAAATCGGCGTCGTAGAAAATTGAATTTGTTACGATTTCGCAGTGGGGTTGAGTAGAGCCCGAAGGATAACGCGGGGCCGCCACGATGAACCCAGCGGGAGCAAACGTATGTGCATGCCTAATGAGCCATGAAATGCCGGAGACTGGATCCTTTCACCCCAATTTCCCACCATCGAGCTTAGGGCCTCCTTTTCTGTGGAGGGTAATCAGCGACAGCTGGCCACTCGGATCTCCTCCCACACTTGGGAGGCAATACGAGTGGCCAGTCTCGGGTCAGGGCCATCTCCTTTGAGCTCCGTAGTTGACCTCGACCAGCCCCTGCTGACCCCCCACATCTATATAATTAAAGAGTGCAGCGGCTGGCGCGTAAATCAAACAAAATCAACTCTCTTCGGCTGCTCTTAATTAAGTTTACACTCCCGCCATTCGATTTCTCTTTCTCTCTCTCTCTCGCTCTCTGGTTTTCTTGTTTTCTGGTGGTCAGCTGTGCACCCAGCAAATGTGTCCGAATCGATGTACATATGTATTGTTATTAAAAAGTTGTTTGAATCATTTTTAATATTTATTTTGCAGATAAACAATTGGAAAACAAAAATAATTAATTTTTACTTTTAAATATTCATTTTGGCATCGCCCTACTGCAGTATTTTCCCACACTTGCAAATAATCTATTAGCGATCCAACTGCTGCCAACCTGCTCCCGACATTCCGTTCGCCTGAGCCAGCTCCGGTTGGGTCAGTAAAACAGACCATCCCCTGAATGAAGGGCTCGCGTGTGGATGTAAGTATTCTCCATCTGTGGCAGGCCTCATGTTGCTGTGGCTGTGTGAATTTTCCCTATTGACTTTTCAGGTCAAAAGTGCGCTTGATATTTGCATAACTACTTAAAGCCTTCTCACCTCCACACACATATATATTCTGGGTTATTTGCCGGTAGACACGAGACGGGTCTCCCTTGTTGATTATGAATTTGTGTGTTTATGTCTGCCTTAAATTTAAATCACTCATACGCCGATTCATCATCGCAAATAGGCTCTCAGCACGTTGAACGTCGCAGCAAAGTTCAAGGCGTCCTCAACCTTCCGTGTTTCTCAGACTTGTCTCCAACACTAATTTGGCCGAGTCACGTAGGAGAGTAGAGGAAAAGCGGCTGCAAGACGAATACTTGCCGAGTTATTTTGAAATTTAATTTGCACGTTTGCCAGCTTTTGGACTGACATTTTGGCAGCCTGTTGTTAAATAGGTGCACTCCGACTTTATTTTGTTTTAATTAAATGTTTTAACAATTAGCACGGTTCACCAGAAGAATGGGCAGTCATTTGTTTGTTGTTCTTGCAGGAAACTTCAGGGAGAAGTGGAAATCTTGTAAATACAGAAGCATTTAGGGGTCATTTGATGACTTTTAAATGAATGGACGACAATGACTTATATGACTTTATGGGTGAGCTACCTTCGTGCTTCTCTCGTCATCATTATCGCTCCCATTATACGTGGGTGCTACGGACACGGACAAAGTACGCTTTTCCCATGTTCTTTCGGCTGTGTGCCCCAACTGCAATGCGCATAAATCAATGACAATCAAAATTCATTTCGTTTGCGTTGATTTATTGCTTTTGTTTGATTATAGGGGATCCTCCGAGCTTCTGCCCGGCTCTGCCTGCTTTCTGCTCTGATGTGCTGCCTTATCAGCAATGCATATTAATGTGAGTTATGTGTGTGTGTGTGTGTGTGTGCCAGAAACAACAACAAAACTTAGCACGCTTCCTCGACATTTCTCCTGTATTTTTCTCGTTTTCTCCTGTGCAAATATTAAAGATACACAGAGGCAGAATGTGCACGCCCCATTCAACTGAGTAGCAACCTTTTTCGTTTCGTTTCTTTTTTTTGTGGGCTGTCCCCACTGATCCATCCTACTGCCAAATCATCAATCAAACGCGTGTGATTTGCTACAGTTCAAATTTCGCTCTCAGTTCAATCGTTCAGCCATTGAAGCAGGAACACAAATATTTGCTTTTTTCCAAAGTACTAGAGAGGGTCGCGAGAGAGGGGTGGGGAGAGATAGTGCAGAGGGGGAGCCGCTGAAAGCCATCTGGCATGGCAGACCCAGGGCTTAGTGCTGTCCTTCCTGCCTGACTGACATGGCTTAAAAATCGAGGCCTCTTCGCTTTGGACCCGTCAAGAGGCGGCGGCAAAAAAGGGTAAGCCACTCCCGGCTCGTTCGCTCATAGAGAGCAGATGTTCTCGACCTTCTCTCGACTGCCTAATCTCCTGTGTGATGGGCTGGCAACCTGTTACATGGCCACCCGTGCACCCTGCACTTGTGAGACCTTTCTGACGGACCAAAGGCACCGCTGCCTCTCCTCATCTCCAAGGCTAACAAATGGCCTCCGTAATAAGGCGCTGTGAAATTATTTAGAAAATTTAGCTAGCCAAGGGCGCCACCTTTTCAGAGACATTGGGCAACAGCCGTAGGTTTGGGTTGTGCCAGCGTGGTGCTGGGTGGGGTAGAAAGTTAAATGGAATTTGTGTTCATCTTGTGAAAAAGTTTTGCGGTTGCGAATCTATAAAAGGGCTCAAGAAACGCATCAAAGGTTTAGCTGCTTATCCTTGAAATAGCTTTCAATTTATCCATTGAATCTGGTTCTGGTTGAGTACTTAAAGCCATCTTTAGAACACATTATAAATGCCAATCGAATAACAATTGCAGGCCTGACATACATTTAATAAAAATGAATGATAGGCAAAAATCTTCGCTAAAGTAGAAGCTTTTTTCTGTCACAATTAGCTTTAAACTTGGCTCTAGGCAGTCCCAGGACTTCTCCACTTGAGCTGCTGCCGGCAGATGGCTTGAAGAGCTGTCTGGGTGCCTGGGGCCCTTTGAAATGTTGCCAAAAACAATTTATGGTTCTCGTAGCATTGTGCCGTGTAACATTTTGCGCACAATTGAGAATTGTGCAATTGCATTTGGCCCAAAAGGGAGAACGGCAAGGGATGAATGTCTTGTCCCAGCTGCCAGCAAAGTTTTGCATATTTATTCAATAACAAAATAAGCGGCAGTTAAATTGTGAATAAGTTCTGTAGCAGCTGACGCTGCCACAATAATTAAAAACAATACGCGACTCCTCCGAAGCTACATAGCTGGGAAATTATGCTTGAAACTTTAATGGGGGCAGTGCAGACAGAGCAGAGGGAAAACTGAATGGGATTAGGGAGTGGCATAGCAGGTGGTCTCTTCCTTCCTTCAGACGAGACAGCGAGACGCATAAATCTTTCAAGAACTCACTTGGCTTCGTTTCAACTGTAGTTTCAGGCATCCTGCTTCTGTTCCTGCTGCTGCAGCTCCTTTAGGGTCTTTGCATTTGCTGATGACAAAGTCAAAGAGGCGACAGTGGCGGAGGGAAACGAAGTGAAATGCTTCTGCCACGTTCATTGTTGCGTACTTTGGGCCACTTTGAGTGGCCACAAGCTACCCGTCCCCTTCCCTTCCTCATCCTCTGGCGATTGTCACGCAAGCGGCAAGTGTTGAAAACATGTTAATTGCTAACCATAACACCAGCAACATCAACAGCAACAACTCAGGCGCCAGCTTGTCAGACAAAGGATCGGCGGAGAGGAGTGGAGAGGCTGAATAGGCCTTTTGCTCGGCGTTGCCCCATTTTCCGCCAAACATAGAAGCCAAAGCAGCAGCAACATTTACATGTTCCGAACGGAAGTGGACGCCCCAACAGACACACTCCTCCTCCACACGCCACTAAGTAGGCCGGCCTGCCGCCTGCAAAGCTCTGGGCGCGGAAGTATTTGTCGTGATATTTATCGCAAAAGCCATCTCTCTGCAGCGCCCCTCAGCGGAATGGCAGCGGAAAATTGTGAAAATTTAATTGAAAATATAGCCGGGACTTGAGAGGGATGTCGGAGAGGAGCTCCTCCAACATTAAAGCATTTTTTGTGAATACTTTCTATTGATTTTCTTTGCATTTGATTGATTTCGTTTATATTCGGCAACAGCTGCTACTCAGAGCGGAGGAGGCATACAAATAGATTCAACAAATAAATATAAATAATTTCAAAATGGGAAATGTTGGGAATATTTGGCAAAAAGGAATAAAAAGCAACTAAAATAAAAAATAGTATTTGTATACCTAAACTAATGAGAAGAGTTCCAAAAAACTACAATTATAATTGCAATGAATCCAATATTTTGTTTTGGATCAAGTTATATTTTTGCATAATGAAATAAAATCATGCGGTAAAAAGTAATATATACAGATAATTATTTTTGTAGTTAAACTTCTAATAAATAAAACACCTGCCAATGGCAGTCGAGTCTTCCTGCTGCGCTATTACCCTTCATTTTTTGGCCTTTTTTACTGAGCTCCTCGTGCGCTCTTGTTTATGGACTCTTGCCGTGTTTATTTCCCTTC